TCTAATGATCTTTGTGATCGACTTTTGCAGTTGGGCCGGGATCGTTACCCTCAATCGGTCCTTCAAGATTGCCAGTCCGGCTGGGGCTTGCTTTAAGCACGCAAAAAAGTGGTGAAAATTGAAGTTCTTATGTATAGTGTCAGTTTGGGGAAAGTAAGAGAATTATTAATCCACTGCCAGAAACGATTGCCGAACGGAATTCAATGGGTGCTAATTCCAGAGACCGATGGTAGGGTAGCAATCCCGAAAACAACCCTCCCTTTGTTCAAGGGGGATATGCCGTGTACACGGACGGAAGTGACATCAATCAAGCCATGAAAAATCCACTCGATGGGCTACCGATTTTTCTTAAGTATGAAAACAAGTAGCAGATTGCAGTCTAAACGTCTCGGTCCTTCTACGAATGGCCCCCAATCGGAGACAAACGAACAAGTTTCATTTATTAAAATGAACAAGTAACATTTATTACAATTACCGTGATAAATATTTTTCATTCATTAGTTTTCTTACCGTATATCCTTCAAGCATTCCAACATTCATCATATCATTAGCCTTTTTAGGAACCACATGCATTAACTGAAGGGCTTTCTGAAATCAAACAATATTTTAATATTATGTTAATATTATTATTTTATATTATTATACTAATATTATTTTAATACATCCTTTGCTGTTCATTCGTGACAAGAGAAACAAATTAATTAAGACAAAAAAAATCATCTTTAGCGCCGACACAATCATTTGCTGAAAAGAAAATCATTAAGCGGAATACGTTTTTATTAAGGGAATTTCCATCAAAACAAATTCTTRCGTGTTAAGAACCTGTAATGTTTTTCCTTTTTGTTATTCGTTTTCCATATCGTGTCGCTTACTCGCTGGTTCATTAGCGATATATGATGGAAACTCGTGAATAAAAAATGATATTAGGCTCTTTTCCTAACACGTGATAAACTCTATATRGTCATACCTTGAGTTCAACAATATCTAGTCCAGCTTTCTCAGTATATTTAACAAAATCTTTCAATAGCAACTGATATTTCATTATACGTTGAACAGGTTTAATGAGGTAATCCTCAATCGAAAACCTGTAACTAAGTTGTTCTTTCATATCCTAAAACACAAAAATATAGCTTTTAATCAGCATAACAGCAAAAACTAACTCTACATTAAGTAAATTGTTGAATGACAAYTTTTTTATAACGATTTGAGTCGGGTGCGGATTTTAATAGTGGAGATATCGAGATTTATACATCCAATATTTTAATAAGTGCGATTTCATTACTGGGTTGCCTGTGGCAAACCAGTCTTAAAATACGTCTGGGTTTTTTTTCCTCCTCGACAAAATGGAAACATTGCGCAATATTACCCATATATGGATTGAAAGTGGTGCCGATACATTCATCTACGAGTTCACATAGTGCAGGCTATCGGTGGAATCGAATGTGCATGTTCTTTGAGGATATATGTGGCCAAAAATTTATATCTTTAGCTTTTAATTTTATCGGGACATGAGCGAAGTCCATCATTAAATAAAGTTGGCGACCTTCAATTTCACGTGGTAGACTTTCATCGCGGAGTTTTACTAGTAAGTCATTTATTCTCATTCGTGTTCACTGATTCAGTGAGATTAAATGCTATAAACGAACATAGAAAGCATAAAAAGGTTTGTTGGAGTTTTAATTTTGATTTGAACGAAGACTAAAATAATTTTGTAAGGGCAATCAACAAGCTTCAATGCCACGGCAAACACTTTTAATARCAGTCRWYYCTACGCAATGWTTTCTTCAATRARATAATAAACGACAAAAGAACTTGAAAAAATACTAAAAAACAAGAATGCCAATTCCGATGGAATCTTGAGGAAAAATCAGCCTAACTTACCATATAAATCAAGTGTTTCTCAATGAACTCTTTGCTAGRCTTTGATCGATATTAGACCATTAAGGCCGTATCGGTCAGCAATTCGAAGATTTGCTCTCAAAAACAACCAGTGATGTACAAACCCTAATAAAGACAAGCTGAGTGATATTTCTAAGGAAATTCGTAGAAAAAGTTAGCTCGGTCTACCGGCCTCTTCCAATTTTGTCAGTCCGGCCTCTGAATTTTTTTCATCCAATTACTTGTATTTCAAAATTGGACAGCATGTAGTCCTATTACCGATACTAAGACCCGGTTCATACGTCGAACTTTTYATGAACCGAGCCTAACATGTTGAAGATCGACCAAAGACCGTCAAATATCTACTTTTGATTCAGACGTCGTTCCAAATTCAGTCGATCCAAATAGATTTTTCCAAGTCCAAGCATTTCGCGATTAAATATGATATATGCATTAGGATCGGTTCATGAAAAGTCCGTCGTTTGAATCAGAGTAGCTCCGAAGTCGTAATTTCCGACCGCTTCAGTCGTAATTTTCGACCGCTTAATATTATGGTTGAATTTAATTGGTTCAGACGTCGTACTTTTCATGGTCTTAATTCTTAGCATTTGGTTTGGCGCAARAAAAGTTCGACGTATGAACCGGGTCTAATAGTTGCTAACACTCAACCAGAACATTTATTAAACAAAAGACACAAGGGGTCTCTTGTGTATTTGTCTTTGTATCATGAATGTTGTGGTTGAGTGATAGCGACTATTACTCACTAAATAGTGCTGTTTGTCACTATCAACTTCGTTTTTATTTCATGGTTTTACTGCACGCGCTTTATACAGGATGTTTTATCGCCCCCAGAAACTGAATTCCGTATATTTAATAATGCCTTCTATGACATCMCATTCACTATCATATTGGAAGAATAAACATTGATATCTCCACGATACACCACTCAAATTACATCATTAATGAAAATATTGAGGTTCATAGGCACTTTGAATAGTGGGAGCATGACAACATAAATGCATATGGCAGCCGTTTAAAAAGACTSGATTGACTTACGGCAAAGTAGTTATCCTTGAATTCGTGAACAAGTGCTGTAGACTTGGGCTTGTTTTGACAATAGATGACATACATTTGTAGCCTTCGCTCCTATCAAAAAATATCAGACAATAATGAGACTAATTATTAGGGATGTTCGGGGCAATGATAGTTCGGAAATGTCGTATTTATAGAAGCAAATAGTTTATTTGTTTAGTGGACTTGAAGAACATTCGTCAGACCTTTTTAATAATAAGGGACCAGTCACTACTTAAGTCGCAGGGTGGCAGGGGAGGGGGGGGGGTTGGGGAGAAAATGGGGGGCCTTCAATTCAAAGTTCAAAGAAGTGAAAAACTTGTTTTCGCGATGACTGGCAAACAAAATATTCAACTTTTGTAGTGGATAGTTGCAACGACTGGCCGGATTGTTCAAATAAGCATGGGCCTTTTTGCTCTTTACGTCTTAATACTCACAGCCTTCAAAAACACAGAGGCAAGTTTCTCTGGGGCATCTTCACATTTTTCCAGTTCTTTACAAAACACGCTGCCAAGAAAAAATTCACAAAATTAAGTTCAAAAAGTAAATTTCTAGTTTCTCAAGTAAAGATGGCAATAAAACCTGAAAATCTTACGTTTTGTGCCATTCATAGATTTGTTTTATGTTTCCAAAGACAGTCCTTTCTTTGCCTTTTAGTTCGTCAGGTAAATCAGGCTTACTGAATTCCGCAGCGTAACCCTATAACAATAAAAAACATGTTCGAAAGGCACAATTTGCATAGATGCAATTTATATAGCACTCCTTTTTGCTGCGAGTCATCAGGCAAGCAGCGACACTAATCTTGCAAGATCTCGACTTGTGTTTGTCGAGATGATTTTCGGAGCAAGCAGTACTTGTATTCAGCGGGGTCACCTACGTTCGAAGGTTGTCGAAACGCCCTAAATTGACCTATCAGACAGGCTCTGTGACTAAGCGAAAATCCTGTACTTCTGTTGTGCTCGTATACAACACCTAAACACGGACGGTATCGACGTTTACCCACAAGAAACCTTTATATTTCTTCTTTCTAAAACATTAAAAATATCACCGATATCACGGTTTTTACTATTTTTAAGAACAATTTGCCGGATGCTGTATAAGCGATGACGCGAGAGTAAATTTTACCTATTTTCAAGTCAAAGTCATCGAATCCAGCTCAGTACATGGAATTTTTGCTTAAAACCTCGATTTTTTGAAGGAAATAAAATTCTGCGGSAAGTTTCAATGCTATTTTTGAAAATAGTCCACCAAAGGGGTTTGATAAGTGTAATAAAAAGAAATTCGTTTTTTCGCGATTGTCCGGCGATTATCGGCATTTATAGACAACGGCTCTTTTCGACGCTTTCGTGGACAATGGCGACAATAAATTGTATCCTTGTCGAGCAAAATTGATCTTATTTGGATGTTTTCTGATCAATCTCTTCTGCYCTGAATGAAGTTAGTATTATAGAAATACCAGCTTACTTTTGAACAGCCTTTATAAAAAATACATAGGGACTTTCTTTTTCTATTGTAATTGTCTTTCTTATATATTGTTAGAGACAGGTATAYTTGTTGTTAGTATTATTGTTGTCTTTACACTATGACAAATAAATCACATGCAGAGGCAGGGGTTAGATCAATATGCAACAACCACAAGTACCCAGATATCACTTCATGCTTACTCGTTGCAATATGCAACTAGTTCTTTACTWTATTTAGAAATCTCTTACTAGGCTAGTTTCAGTATAGTAAGTCTTACTTACATCAACGGCCTCTCCCAGACTAACAACGTAGTCCTGCTCTGTTTGAATAAGTTCCTTCAAGACAAACCTAGAAAATTCAACAATAATATATAGATTATTGTAACGTTGTCTTAACTGAAGTTACACGGGATTCGCTGATTCGCGACTACGATTTTTTGCGATACGCAGAAAGGCGAATTTTTTGCAAATCGATTCGTGTAACAGCTTCATCAACGATTTTTTCGCAACACATACCCAAAATGCACTGTTCAATACTCTCATAGAAGCGASGCCATGTCAAGCAACAAGATAGCGGCTTTTCAAAATCATGTTGATTTTCGAACAAACGTTGTTGCGCGAAAAGTTGACTCGTGTAATGTGTATCGCTAAAAATCGTCTTTGCGAATTGTCCCGTTAAAGCATGAATTTGAGTTAAGTCAGAGTTAAGTACCGGAAACGGAGGCAAAAGACCCTTTTCGAGTTCCAAATTATTGCTGCGTTTCTTGATTACAGACTCATTTACTCAGGCTTAGCCTCGATTTTGTGCAGAATATTCACGTGTTCCAGTCAAGATCCGTCAAGTTTCAAAGTCTTCTTATTGTTGAAGTTGTGCATTCTTTACTTTACCGTTGGTATTTGCGAGTAATTAGACACTGATTCGAGGCTAAGCCTAAGTAAATGAATCTGTAATCAAGAAACACAGCGTTAATTTGGAACTCGAAACTGGACTATAAGCCATATAAAGCGCAAGGGCCGCAGGCCCAAGGATATGCCAAGGATATTGCCGACGATAAGATTTTCATGGATTTATTTTTTTAAGTAGTTAGTAATCCTTTCGCGAAATGAGTTTATTTGAAAATACAGCGCAATTAAAAATAGGTTCGTGAGGGACGGGGAGCGAAAGTACGTCTGTTTTCTCAGGCTAGRTAGAAAATAAAATAGAATATGATTGAGAAGGTTTTCACCCAAAAATAATCCCATTGCTGGGTGTCATTAATCCGATTATTGTTCCTTAATTACCATGAGAGAATACTAAACGAATGTTTTTTAAAATCTGTTTGCTTCAATGAAAATGAGCTTYATGAAAACAGATAAAATATTTTTGTTCAACATATTCCATCAGATAACTATGTAGTATACGGTATAAAAGTTGGTGTAGGTAAGCCAAAGGTATTGGGTTCGATTCCTGCTAGGTTCAAAGATAACATTGTTCTTCTTTAGGCATTCTAGGGCATCATTCAAGGTATGTACCTAGGATAAAAGCCCTCGAATTCGTATTCTCAAACACATTAATAATTCAACAACGAATCAGAACTTTGTATTTTGGTCAGGTCTTTAGATGAGTCTTGATAATAGATCACTGATCAAGACACGGAAGTCCAAGGAAGATCTTAATTTGCATTTCTACACTTAAAATACTTAAAATAACACTTATAATTATTTAGACTTATAAATAGAGAGACTTATTTAAGAAGTATAGTAAATTTCAGAGTAAATGTCAGCAGGAATCGAACACGGGACCCCTTACTACCTATAACCCGTTTTTTTTTTTTTTTTGTTTTTTGTTTCCAATACGCTACGACTCAATTCGTTGAGCAATAACAAACTTTTGAAAGTTTTATCTGCAATTTGTGTGGTTCTTATACACAATTAAAAGTGGTTATTATACGTAATATATCAATTATACTAAATAATTTAAAACTTGAATTTGAGAAGCCAGATTGCGACCTCGTGCTTTCAACCGTTTGTTGGTGTTTGGATCCTCCGATCAAACACGAAGCACGAGTTTTTAATCTATTACATAAAAATATGGAAAATGGGGCATTATGGAAAAAAGCCATATCCTATGAATAACAAAAAAAACGTCAAATTTGAACTGAGTAGAATTGAGCATGCAGTAGTTACATTGTATTACATAATTTTTATAGCATGTAATATATTTTACTTTAATATAATTATCTAATTGCGGGCCATGAGCTCAGCGTAAMCTGTTAAATGTACCTTTTTGAAATAAACTGAAGTTTATTATTTTGTTAATGTAATCATTATCATTATCATTTATATCATTATCATTATCATTATCATAATATCCATTTTGAAATCACTGGTAATTTCTGCAATCTGATTGGCTCTAACCAGTGCGATTTAATCACGAAGTCGCACCATTTTGAGTTTTAAATCGCACCTGCTTTGAAGGGCAAATTAAATCGCAGAAAACATTTTATTTGACTAATCACAGCACAGGAAAAAAATTGAAGGGGTTTTTTTAGATTTTAAAGACACTCTTTTGACTATATTTACATTAAAATCTAATGTTAAAATGACTATTATTGCAGGAGATTTCAAAATGAATATGATTAAGTGGTAATTGAGCTTCGTGTCGTGCAATTTTGGTCTGAACTCAAATTTGTGATTAACAAGTTGCACTCCCGCTACGCGGTCGTGAAATTTTGTAATCACTTGTTTGATTTGAGACCAAATTGCGCTTCACTCAGTTCAATTACCATTATTTATCATCGTCATTGTCATTGTCGCGACATTTCACCGAAATTTTTCTTTAATTTAAAATAACCCTATTCTAAGTCACCTTAATTTCGTGATTTCATAAATTATTCATAATTCATCTCCAAAACCACTTTACTACGTAACGTTAGAAAACTCATTAATAATTCATGAAGGAAACACTATAGAAATCATGACCATGAAGGAGGTTTTATATCTCATATATTCGTCTTCATTTCCATAAACTTTCACTTGGATTTTCTCTATCAAACTTGGTCCATTTCGTAAAGAATTCAGTACAATAAGAGAACATACATCATGAGTTTTCTAWGTWATGTTTAATAAACTCGCAGATCGTGTTTTATCGAGTCTCGGCTGCGCCTCGWGTTTCATACCCGATAAAACATTCCTGCTCGTTYATTAAACATTACTTAACATTAAAAAAGTAAGCTGTTCAGTACTTAATCATTTAGTGTTGAGACTAGCTAGATCACTGTAGGCAGTAGTACTTGGTTTTTAGTAGTAATCTCTTATCCCATGGTCAATAAATTCGTTATTTTCTTCATATTAGAAKGCCACTTCATTTTCTCGTCATTATATTTTCGCGACATGTAGGTAATAATTACGAATACGAAATGAAAAAAATAAAAAATAAACAAAAAATAACATCTTTTGCAAACAAAAACAAAAAAATGAAAGAAAAAAAAAGAAAGAAAAAAAGAAAAAAAAGAGGGAATTCACTTTTCTACATATATAAAAAAACCTTCATGTTAAATTAACTGTCATATTTTCACGTGACATTGTCCTGCAACGCTCAGTAATTTACATACGTTCTCTTTTTTAGTGCTATGGCTTCAGGGTCTTCTTTCTTCTTTTTTCCCAGTGTATCTGTATCGTCTTGGCTTTCTTCATCGTGACACGATTCCTTTTCCTCCTGTCCTTCCCCTTGTCCTCGCTCACCATGAAATGAATCATCATCAAATTCTTCTTCATCCTCGTCATCGCTGACAGGGTAAATCTTGATTTCGTTGACCCCTTTGCTTGTGTCATATGCATCTTGTTCACGAAGTAATTCCTCGGAACATTCTTCTGGTATACTCTATGAGATTGAAATGACGAGAACAAAATATTAAAACGCCAACAATATTTCCAAAAGGATAACCATAAAATATAGAAGTACTAGGATTACAAAAATAATTCATAGTCTTTGGTTACTAAGAACTTATTTTCTATTTTATTTTATTTTTCTGGTTACTAAAAACTTATAACATTTTTTTGAAGAAGCTAATTCTTCAAAAACTGCAATTTCAAATTACATTTTCAATACTGGCAAAACACTTTGTTAACACAACGGCGTTTTGTCTATGCACAGGTAACCCAGGCCATTCACTTATAAGAAAATGTGTGTACTAAATAGATTTTGCTAAGATTTTGGAAATAAAACTTACCGTCTTGTATTAAAAGTTTTCGTTTTTAAGAGTATTTTTTAGYGATTTTAGGTACCCCCTCCACTTCTCTTCCCTGAATAATCCCAAGGTTGGAAACTTCTAAAGTCAATGCGAAATATCTTTTTGGAAAGAAAGGGGCATTYAAATGTTTGACTATGCGGTAGTACCCATAAAAATTTGAACACCTTTTGTTGGAATTCGTCCAATCAGCTTCGAGATCATGCTTGTCTGTGGAGTAAAACCTTCAAATCCGACCAAGATTTGGGCAAGTGGTATTAATGCCGACTGATTTTCAAAAGTTAACGGCCGATTTCAAACTGTAACCGAGAAGATATTTCGCATTGACTTTCCTTCTAGGACTCTTTGAACATCCTTCTTTTGTCTGGTGGATTTCAATTTAAGAGGGACCGTGTTTTTGGTCGAAAAAATCGAGCTGAAGTATAGTGGCTTGGATTTGGAATCGGCCGAAGTTTCCAACCTTTAGATTATGTAGGGAATAGAAGTGGATGGGTACAGTAAGTACACTTTTTTATATAAATGAAGTTTTCTTTCAAAACACTGCGCAAAACTTAACAAATTTCWGCAAAATCTATTTACTACATACATTTTCTTATAAAGGTGGATAGTCTGTGGCTCTGTTGGAGCGGGAAATGCCAGACGACATATACATTTATAAAATAAGAAGTTCAATCGAATGGATGAATTGCTGGCAAGATCTTTAGTTGATGAAGTCTGATCTCCGTTCATAACTACAAACTAGGTATAATGATCATTACCCGGATTCCTTAGGAACCCCAATCTAAAAATGCAGGCCGTTCTTCTTCGTTGTCGTCAAATGGGGGGTCACCATCCCAGGGCTTCCTGGAAACTGGGGATGAGAATCGCGACAGAAGCTAATCGTTTGCTTGCTCTTCGTGTACAACATAATTTACAGAATTCCGTAGTTTTGCAAAAAAAGCTTTTGAAAGAATCTGACATACAAATGGACACGCCATTCGTGGTAGGCCCACATGAAACGGGTCCGTCCACGAATTCCACAGCTTGGAAGCGTTGAAAGGTTAGCAAAGTTCATACTAGTTGTCACGAGATAACAAAGGAGCCATAAATCAGCCCAAACTACGAAAACATTGACAAAACTATGACAACTGACTTAACAAAAACTACGATGCTGAAAGTAAACACATCAGATGTTGGAAAAAAAATCAGAATCTTCACGAGCAGAACTTCGAGTTTTCGGTAATGCAAACAACGACAAGCAAATCGCCATATWCAATGGATAAAGAGAAGGATACTCAACGAAGCAAGTTTATCTCTTGTTCACTGAACGAGGAAAACGATTACCGATTTATGATAAAAGCAAGGACATCAAGAAATATTCATCATTTTAGTTTTTAAACTTTTAGCCCACGAGAGAATTTGTTCCAGTTACGCTCAGAAAAATTGTACTGCATGTGGCTACTGCTATATTACAAGATAATGTGGATACACTTRATTTCACAAAGTTGGTCACCAAAAACCTAGAAAGCTGTGATCGCTGAKAATCATGGGGAAATGTTTTATATCCAACAAGTAAAGCTTTTGACGCAAACTGCAGCAGTTGAGGATGCTCAGAGGAGGTTAACTTGTAATTGGTAGAAGATCTCAAGTCCATCAACAGCTATCAAGCAGTTGAAACATGTAAAATGTATCTACCCATAATCCATGTCGGTCTCAGCTTTGTAGCTTTTCAGGTGACTAACTTTATTGAAATAAGTGTATGTGAAAAGTATAAATGGAAATTAAAAAAATAAAAGCAGGAACACGAATATAGAGAAAAATGGGAATTTAATAAATATAAATTGTGATGTGAAACAATCTACCTGGGAAAATACATCTAGAATGTTTAAAATACCTGTCAAGAGCAGGCGCGCGTTACCCATGGAACCTCGTTTCCAAACATTACCGGAAAGGTGTATTGGATCGTATTTTTTATGGGTTCCTGTAATTATTCACCTTTATAAATCAGTCGACATCACAGTCACAGAAGCTGCCTATGAACACCAATATAAAAGCTTCTCAGGCTGCTAAAATGCCTTAAAAGCTATCAACGAATATGCATTTCACATCCTTAAAAGTTTTTCCTGGTTGTTGATGCAAAATTAAGCGTAAATTATCGTAAATATAGTGGTRTTATTAAAATTACGATGCATAACGTCAAGGAGACGGTAGCGACCACAACGGTTCGAGCGAGTGATTCTGATCTGGTGGAAAATTTCTACAGAACGTCAAAATTCACTTTGAAAATCATATATATCTACTTGGAATAAACCCATTGTGATTTTTTTTTTTCAAAGTTTTGGCTGGCTCTTACATTAATTAAACTCCATAGAATTTAGAATCCAACCACGACAAAAGTTTGTAGCAAGATGTCGCCAAACAGACGAAAGATCCCGAAAATAGATAACGATGCATTGGTCACGTCGCCGTCGATACAAAAGATCTGATTGGCTCCGAACAATATCCGAAAGTATATCGGACTAAAATCAGTATTCGATTTGGGCTTCCTTTCGTGCTTCGTGCTTCGTGCTTCCTTCGGTACAATGATAGATTGTCAACCGGTGCCCGGGAATTTATCGATTTACAGCAGCAGTAAGGGGGACCCGCGGAGGGGGTACCGTATGAGTCGGGTATTACCCCCGCCAAGTACCATTGGTTCCCCGCGGGTATTACCCGTAATGTCGTTCTGTGTAATGCCTGCGTAATTCGATTCGAAAAGCTCTCTACGGGTTTTATCGGTGCCCCGCATTACTAAGTTAAAATATTAGTTCTAATGTAAAGAATTCTGTAGTGTCGCAAACGAAGGTTAAAATATTTCCTAGATATAGATGGACGCCATCACGAGCATTCAAAACAAAACTGTGCGCAAACTACGGACTCAAGTCTTAGATAGGCTAGACGCCGACTTTGCCTTCACGACGTTTACAGAAGGAAATGTAGAAGAAATCATGGACGAAGAAAGAGCCGAAAAGATAATAGACCTGATGCCTGAAGGTAATTACCGTTTACAGTTAACGTTTATAAAGTATTACGACGGCGAGTGGATGATAGAAAAGGGCCGCAACCCTATCCGGGCGTCGGGCAAGCAGGGGCTTTTCGTCCTAAACAAGAATACMAGGCCTGGAGCGCTGGTAGGCATCGACATGTTGTTCTACGAAGTTGCTTACCCTGTTACAGTAGTAATCTATGGCGCATACGAAATTAAAGAACCAGACGCCAAGAAACTTAAGCCAATGCGACATCCCGGCAACAGCGTAGGAAAGCTGGTAAGAGAGTYCTTCGAGGACTCCTCCCGCGGGGGTAAGCTTACCCCAAAAAGAAGAGAAGCCATCAGAAARTGGGAGCATGCTACTCGCAASGCTGGAGCAACCATAGACAACGTCAAGAAGTTAGAAACAGCCTTAGAAAGACGCATCGCAGTCAAAGACATCACGGACGGTTTCATTTACCCTGGGACTCATAAATATGGTGGCAGAGGTGCTCCTATCGTCATTTATCAACACAACGCRCATGCTTGGAGGGAGTTAAGATTCCCAAAGAAGAAAGAAACAAAGGTCTATGATGCCTGCYCGTTGATGGATTTGGTGCATGAGAACTCTATTTGGCTAATGGACCCGGAAGGCAGCCAGTTTATGACGCAAGACGGCACGTTGTACAGACCAAAAATAGAACAGCAAAGAATACTAAGTGCCTGCGAAACATTAGGCGAAGACTTCTCAGAAGACGTCTTAAGCAGKCGCAGCTTAGACTTCATGGCCGCAAGGAAAAGAAATGGTTGGAAACCCACCCCCAAAGAATTCAAAGACATAGCYAAAGCCTGCGTAGAACACGGCCACGGCGGTCTTTGGAACATGGAGTACGACGAAGAAGAATACGTCTCCTTAGACATGAAACACTGTTACCCTGCGTCATTCAAAGGCCTCGGAGATTGCAAGGAATACTACGACCGCTACGGACACCCAGACTCGCAGTTCTTCCGCGTAGCTTCGGATGGTAAATACGACGCGCCAGCTACGGGATTGGTAAGGCTCACTTCATGGAAGYTAAAAGAAGGTATAGGAATGCCTTCCCTGCACTGTATTCGGCGCCAGCACTACGAGCCAGCTCTTCGCTATATACCGTCTCGTACTGCAGCTCTAAGTTAGTAACGGAGTATGGGTGGACGGCTGCTGAACTTATGTCCTTTCCCTGCAGGATGTTCGTAGTGTCTGCTAAGGTCACTTCAAACTGTAGTTCACTTAGCTGCCTTGGGTAGTATGCGCCGTGGTTCGTGATAACTTCGAAGTCCAGCGGGATAACATATTTGGTACCGTAGGCCGTCTTTATTTCGTCTTCTCCCGAGGCGCCGGAGTTTGCGCTTCCTACCTTGCGTATGGCTGCGCTTGCTATTCCCTGCTCTATCCTTTGCGCGCGGTCAAATGCCGTTAGTCATAAGTCTTTGTACGTGATGTACAGATCGTACCTGTTCAAGTCCAAAAGGGATTCCCCAGCGAACTTGATTCTCATCTTAGAGACAAGGTTTCTGCCTGCGTTATTGAAGACATGACGCGCGTCTGCGGTATCTGGCTGTATTACTAGGTCAAACCTTAGCGCTAACGTGCCWGGGACTAAGACT